GAATACGTATGAGTAACAGTTACAAATAAAGTGGAGTAATTCTTTAAAATTGGAAGAGGAATAATAAAAGAGAATATCACAATGAAAGCTTTAAGTAACATGATAACTCACCATTCATATCAAGAAAGACAAAAAAGAGTATGGGGTCAAAATATTAGCCCCATAATGTATTACTATTCTAAAGTAAAAGTGTCCAAGGAATAAGAAAATTTAAATTGCAATCTGATAATTCATTTAGCAGACATTTCAGTTAAAAGTGATTTTCTCCAAATTTTTTACATATTTAAGAATTCGAATACCCTCCGAAACAAAAAAGGCACAGTATTAATGCTTACCGACCAGGAGATGGACCAACCTAACGCCTACATGAATGGAATTTTGTACTCGGGCCTTTAAATTTGTCGGATAAGTATTTGGATCCAATTTACGATATTTTGGATTAAAATTGGCCATACTCGAGAGCGGTTCATGCCTTATATCAGGTTCGAATTTGTTTTTTAAGAAAATCTATGAAGCGATGAGACTTTGTGAAATCTCAAACTCGTATGTCGAACAATTCACTCTGGAGTTGACTTCAATGTTTTAATATTCGGAAAAATGTGAATTTTAGCATTTCCGTCAACATTTCCATTTTCTCGCTACGCCTGTCATTGTGAGATATTGAACCGAGCAAGATATGTTATAGAATAATTCAAAAATGGCCTTCAAATTGCGATCTGATAATTCGTTTGGCAGATATCTTAGTAAAAAGAAACAAGAAATTCACAAAATAATTTTTTCAAAAAGGGTGGCTCCATATGAGCTGAATTTTGTCTTCGGATCTCTAAGCTAGCCGAATAGGCCTTCAGAGCTAATTTTCGATATTGTTTGCCTAAATTTACCATTTTATCATGCTAGAGGAGGTATATCGATGTTGTTTGAGATTGCCAAAAATACTAAAATTCACATCTTTTCGAAACTTGCAACATTGAACGTTCGACGTTCGACGTAGGAATTTAAGATTTTACAGAGGGTAATTCCTCCATAGAGTCTTTTCAGAAAACAAAATTAAGCCCGATATGAATCATGACCCGTCCTCCAACATCATAAAAATGACCACTTTTGGCTCAAAATATCGAAAATTTGATCCAGGGGTCTATCCTTATAAAAGAAATAATTTTATGCATTTTTTTGTTTCGGAAGGCATTCGAATTTTCAGTCCATAAGCCAGTAGACAATTTAAAAAAAAACACTTTTGATTGAAATATCTACCGAATGAATCATAATATCGTAATTGGCTCATCTGGACAATTTTACCTCGGAATAGTCATATATCATGGAGCCTAATGCTTTCCAAAAACAGGAGTAGCAAGAAAATGAAAAACGTTGTCAAAACGTTAAAATTCACATTTTTGTCAAACCTTTCAACCTTTGAGCGCGTCGCTAGAACAAACCTAGGACACCAAAATTTTACAAAACCTCATACTTATATGGGTACTCTTCTGGGAAAAAAATTGAGCTCAATCTGAGATTTGACCAAGCCAGTTCGTGGAATTTTAGTTGCGACCCAAATATAAATCGGTTATCCAACCGTCAGCATCATAAGGCAGTGAAGCGAGGGTGCTAAGCTAGAAAAACATACAGAGACTAGAGCGATAGGAAATGAAAATGTTGCGAAAATTTTATAGAGGCACACAAAACAATGTTAGAGCATGGAAAGACGAAATAAAGGGCAGTGACGGAGATACCATATAGAACCAACCCAGCATGACACAAAAGGCTCGAGTTGAAAGGGTGTTCTGCCTAGGAAACGTTTACAAAGTAGAGTAGGGAAGGAACAAGGAGACTGAAGAAGAGATAGCTGGAAAATTTCAAAGAGAACATACGACGACAAGACGTACCAGACTGGGAGGAAAGGACCAAAACAGAAAAGGATGGACATAACGAATACTACCATGGGTATTAAGGTCTGAAGTGCTGAATTATACAGGGTGACTAGTATTTCGCAGTATTCCTTCCAAGGTGCCGTAAAACGCAACAATTTTGACTACATATACATGATATTGATCAGTACCTATGGAGGAGATTTTTGCGTATATTGTAAGACGCAAAAGTCATATGAACGTATATACCATGTGCGTCTTATCTTCCGAGACACAAGGTAGTAAAGTTTTCAAAAATAAATCATTTATCATTAATATCCGTAAACACTACTTTAGATATTTAAACGAAATTTGGCATGCATTTGCTATACTCAAGAAGCATTTTTTCATTTTCATCAGTGGCGTTCATACGGAATGTTATCTGCCTATCTTGGCAGACATTGTTGATGATTTCACTTAAAATGAAAATAAGTCTCAAGATCTTTCATTTCTAAGCATATTCGAGTGCTTGATTTTTTCAATCTGATACTTAAGCAAATAAAAACCGATTTTTTTCATGATCATAACAATATCGTTAATATGACAGTATCACCATCGTACTATAAAAAATCGAGAGATAAAGTCTGCTCATAGATGAATTTTAATTTCTTTTTTATTTTAAGAAAGTGGCATGCTATACTATAATGAAAGCTTTAGCACCATATATCTCAAAAGTTAAGACGTTTAGGACGTACGTGTCCATATGAAGTTTTCTTCTTAAAAACTACTAAAAAACCGTCTCAATTAATATTGATATTTAATTAGGCAAATCGATAATTTTTGAGATCTTCCAATCTTTGTGATCTCTTAATAATCACCCGAAATGAGGCATTTGAGCCTAATTAATAAATGAACTATCCAAGAAATGCATGCTGAAGAGTTGCCAAATAGCACGAAACAGCCGTCTGCGGTTGAACGAAGGAGAGCTATATTACTAATTTACGGACTATGGTTGTGACGAGTCGATGTTGATGCAGACCGAAAATTTTAACATCGCCAATCACCGAATTTGCTACGTTTTTGGGGTTAGTAAGTAGGTACTTATATGTATATCGAACACACGTAAGGTAGGTACTGATCAGGATTTGGGAAATGCATTTTACTGGAGCAATTCCGTAAGCGTGTAGTAAATGTAACAGAAGAACTGAGGGCGTCTTTTACCACAAGTTAAAGGTTTTTCATAGATTATACACTCGGTTGAGTTACGTATAAAAAATATAATCTCTTTAAATCCTCTTTGACCTAAATTGGGGTATCTGGGTGTTTGTGCGGAATTAAACGGTTTCATACAGATGTTTAATAACTTGTACTCAGTATCCTTTTAGAGCTAGATACACTTTAAGTAAAGCTGAAAACGAAAACTTTATTTTTTGAAATAACTATGATTTTATTGTTGGTTCTATTTCTGCATACTTTATGTTTATATTAACTTAAGTCAAGTATAAACTACGAAAATCCATGTACATCTCTTACGTAGTTTTTTATTATCTAGCCTCAAATGCTCAATTTTGGTTTAAAAAGTCATCATTATTGGAAAACCTAGAAAATTCTTGATTCTCGACCATATTCGACCACATAGTGTGAAATTTATTTTATTTTAGTCCACTTATGAAGCCCTGGAAGAAATACGGCGATTTGCCAATAACCCTGTATATTTACCAACAGTTCACAGTATAGTGAGCTAACGTTACTGTATGTGGTCGTTCAGTGGGCAATTGGAGAGAAAATTTACCTGCAATCAACGCGCTGGTAATAGCAAAAATATGATTTTAATTACAAACTAAAGAAAGTCCGAATCATGGTTTTCCACAAGAAAGACATGTCGACCAAAACCTTTCACCTCTTAATATCTTTATCATTCCGATTGGGGAAATACAAATGTTATTAGAGGAAACAGGTCGGTATTTAAATAGTCTGAGCTAGAGAAATTATTGACTTCACAGACTTTGTAGCACTTATTTAACTCAAAAACGTGCTTCAACCTCCTTGCTAGGTGATGTTCATTCTTTTCTATGGCTAACATTAGTATGACGATCCCTGTCTAGCAAATTGTCAGAAAAGTCGACCGGCGTACTTTGATAAAACTTATCTTCTGCTTTGGTATATACGATTTCAAGGCTATATTTCTCAATATCTAAGAAAACCATTATATTATATGCTACAATGCATGCAAATAATGTCGAAGTTGCAGCTCTCTCTCTCCCTCTGGCTTAACTAAAATAAAATTAAGATATGAAATGATACATTGGATAAATCCCATTCGTCATAATGTTATATAAGTGATGCTCGAAAATTATATATAATTTAGATTGCGTGAGTGATATAAGTTATTCAAGGAATGTTTATTGATTTGAAATAAGGATTGGCGATTTTAAAATCTATATAATCAATGCAGCTTAGACCACAGCTTCTGTAAATACCAGATACAAGTGACCACGTAGAAATATGTGGGTTTACCCTGAGACAACACCGCTATACGTTTGAGTCTCTTCAAACAAATGTCTCTTCACAGACCGATAAACTTTGATATGGCAGAAAATGAATCGGCCAAAGTAAATAACTCTTCCAGAAAAAAATTATCAGCAATTAAAGATACAAACTGATTATGATATCGCGTATACAATGTTCAGCACTACAGACAGTGTATCTACTACAACAAAAATTCATTACACATTATCACTCCTTTTAAAAGGCACCACAGTAGGTCATGCAATAAGATTATTAGAGTATTGTAGTATTTATTATCTTCACTATGAGAAATTTGCACGTCAGTTGGACTGTTATCTCAGAACTATAAGACTAGATTGCTATAACAGCAGTTTCCTTTTTTAAAAGCCTGATGATAAGTAATAGCAGTCTATCAACTACTGTCGACTGATAAACTGTATCACATTAGATTACACTTATTTACTCACTGACATATTATACCTTGTAGTACACAAAACAGGCTGCAATAACTGTAAAATTTACATTTTTATTATTTCTCGGACCTATAATTCCATTCACCGGAGATTACAACCAATAGTCTACTCGTATTTTATTTGTTGTTGTTCAGAGCTTTTTGAACAGTACTTTTTGATTTATTCCGTCAATTTGCTTTGTTTGATTGTCATCTTTTCAACTTGCAAGCTACCTTTCGACAATGTATTCTCATTCCACCTCGTCTCGTCAGTATGTGATTCTACTACTAGTAAAAACCAAATGTTCGATTTAAACCACAAAATGACTTCAGATAAGACTCCCGACTACAACTCTGTTTTGCACGTTTCATTCCCAGTTAGTCATTTTTATCAATCAGCATATTGTTAATAGTTAAATATAAAAGATAGTTTTGTACTGTTCCAGTTCATTTTCAAAAATCCATGTTAGTCGAAATGCAGTGCTATGCAGTGCGTTTATTTCTCAGTTTCACTGTTCATGTATTATGTCTGCCCAGTGACGGGGTAAACAGTCAGTGCCGTAGTGTATATGGTATGCAAAATAGTTAGACTTCATGGGATAGTTTTCTTTGTTATTTTGCCATTAAGTAAGAGTATTAATTCATAAAACACTAAAACTAAATCGCTTTCCAAGCTTCCATATTTAGAAATCAAGCAGTATTTTGAGAACCGGAAATTATATAAAAAAATACCAGTTCCTATAAATATATATCATAAGATGACCCCATTACTAAGATATAGGTTGTGGGGAAGCCACTGATGAGACGGAATTAGAACAAAACATACAATTTTCAATGATAAACTTCACTAACATCAGTTGAAGTTTTGTATATACGAAAACATATTTATCTTCAAAAGAAGTAGTCTGACAAACATTTTTCAAGGCAGGCAATTTATGTTAAATTGAATACTTCGTTCAAAGATGCAATGCATGTTCCAGAAAAAGTCTAATTAATAATTCTGTTTCTTCTTCTGCAGTTGTCAAAATTCCCAATCTATTCTCACTTTTCAGGTAAAGGGGTATCGATTGCAGATATCTTAATAATTCTCAATGGCCACAATAATTTCAGGAATGATATAGCACAAGGAAAATATGTTACTAAAGGCTTACCTGAAGGAAAGGATTTCAAAGAAATGGTCAGTATTCATACTGCAACATTTGAAGTGAATAATCAGTATTAGTGTCGATCCTCCTACAAATCTTCGAAAATAGATAAATTGACTAATTAATGCACGCTTTTGAGGTTTCTATTAGTATTTATAATGTAACATTAGAAACTTATCCTGTGGCTTTCATGTCATTCTCTGACCGCTATATCAAACCATATATACTTGAAATACTTTAAAAAGTATTTTTTTAACCCCGCTATACCTTTTAAAGTATTCCAAGCATATACATGGTTCGAATTGTTGGCCAGAGAATGGAGTCCAGAGGCGTGTTTGTGTTTCGAAATGCATCTGCAATTTTGGTTTCGTTCTTGAGGAATTATCACATGAAATTTTTATTGTGGGTATTTGGATCCACAACATAAGTGAAAGGTGGTTGATGCAAAAAGTGAAATGAATGGTTTCTACTGATTTTTTTCGAGCTGCGAATGTATCGCTTTGTGGATTCCAAGACTATTAATTACAAATCCGAACCTTTTTGATTGAAGAGATGAACAATATTGCCTTAACAAAAATTTTTTGGAAGTATATAGCCCATGGAAGTCGAACATTGTTTAGGAGAGCTCAACAATGTACATTCTACGTGATAGGTACAATTTTATTCCTTGCAAGGAGTTCACCCTTGCTACTGACCACGATCATATCGCATGACATGAAGGATCTTAACAAAATTGATGAAGGAGCAAGGATTTAAACATTCTCTATAAAATGAAAATTGTTTATTACCTCCTTTATCCACTTCCTGAAACGGGGACAACATTCTGAAAAATGTGTCAATCCAATATGATTTATACAGAAAACTATAAAATAACCTAAACCTTGTGGCTGGTTGTAGTGGTTGGAATGTTCACGTTCGCACCTATCGGAATCTAACGTATGGTAGTCGCAAAATGTGATTTAGTTGAAAATGCACTATTACTTTTCAATAAATACGGAGTGTGATATGAATTTCTCACATTTCACTTTAGGATTAGAGGCCCGCTAGCTTAAAATCTCCATTCAATTGTAGGTTCTCGGCTACAAATGTATCACATTGTCCACAGTTTCTCATAAATTCATCAACTATGCTTTTGCTTTTGAAATCTTGAACAAAAAAATTAAAGCAACTTTAAAGCAAAGTGGGCACTAGTAGTTTGACATTAAAGTATTTCAAAGCAGTGAAGCACCAGTTTTGGTGCTCCATGTTGTCATCAGAGAATAGAATAGATGAACTGAGAAGAAGATAAATCAGTTAAACTTTTAAATAGGCCAGTGAAAAAATTTAATGAACTATGTGACAGCTAACAAGTTCAATTAATTCAATTGAACTTCGATTACCAAAAACAGTTTATAGAATATATCTATCCAGTTAAATAAAATCAAATCGCAGTGGTTTAATTAAAGTCATCACCTAGATTGAGTACACCACCTTATTTTAAATAAATGAAATATTAAAACCTGCTTCAAGTAAAACAATTTAATTATATTTATAAATTTTGTTTAATTAGTTCAGGTAAAAGTATGATTTATTTTATTTAGGTTTAAAAGTATATCTAAATAGTACGAGTATTTGAATTTAAAATAACAAATTGCATTTTAATGAATGATGTATAATATAATTGTGCTCTGACAAATCTAAGATATCCAAGGGTTTTGAAAACTTGATGCTGATAATTAGTATTATCAAATCAAAATAAAAAACCCTAACTTAATTCAAAATTTTTTATTTTCATTGATTGTGAACTTATTTATTACTTGGAATAATTAAAAAATTCATTCCGAGTCATGGGAATTTTCCAGAAAATCTGTTTAATTGACCACGTTTTCTCAGTGGGGCCATCAAATTTAGAGATAATCGCTTTAAAAATCACAAGTGAGCTCATTTAGTTGTTTTATGGTTAGGTATGGGACACTGGCTTAGCGCAGGCAGCCCAACGTGTTGCTGACAGCTGCTTGTTTCAACATCAACAGATAAAAGATGGTGAGGACAAAGTGTAGTTTAAAATATTTTTAATGGCACGTAACAAATCCAACAACAAATATAAACCAAAACACTATCGAAACTCTAATATAATATAGTTTTTTGGGCAAGCTTGTAGTTGATAGTGATGATTTCATTTTCCAGCTTGAGATGAAAGCAAGCCTCTATGAATCAGCACTTACTATTATAGTTCCTGATCTAATAATACATTTCTACGCTCATAGATCCATTGCTCAGTTCAAACCAGAGTTGTTTATAGAGAAAGAGGTTGAAGCAAGGTCGTATTACCAAACCTGGCTAAATGAAACCACGTGTTTCATTAAACTAGATTCCTTATTCTAGATAGGTGGAAAAGTGTGGGCCAGAATTTACACATTTACATGAGCACTGCAAATACTCAAGGAGCAGACTGGAAAGGAGTATTGAATGCCTGGATAGGTGAATACAAGGCGTACCGATTTGGACAGAAAATCACCAAGCAAAATGGACATCTCACACAGGTGAAAAAAAGACATACCTAGGGTTACTGTTAATTCGTCTTACTCCCTCCAAGCCGTGATAGTGGATCTAAAATGCAACAAATTCAGCCATTCATACAGGGTAATTTGCAAAAACGTGACAGTACTTCTGAGGTAGACAGTGCGTTTAAAAATAAAATGGTGTCTATAAACATATGTACCAAAATGTCTCATTAACAATATAAACAGGATGATGAAATTTAATGTGGATAAAACATGAATTTTGTCCAAATAACGCTATGGTGCCATAGGATTATTCTACTAATACACTATACAGAATTTTCAATGCCAAACTTCAGTTTTCCAAACACTTGAACCATTTGTTCCCCAAAAAGGGTAGACTAACAAAATTTTGCAGGAGAGGTGATTGATATAAATTTGAAACCTTACTCAAAAATGTAATCACTGTTTAAAACAAAGAGCTGTCGTAGAAAATAATTTTCTTATAGATAGCGGTTGAAATTTCCCAATGTGTATACCACTGGTCTAGTATAATTACAATTACAGAGGGCATCATGTACACCGCAGATTTTATTTCTTTTCGATTAAGAAATTAAGTTTAACACCCTGCATCTCGGTAACACCTCTGTTTCCATTATTTGTTATTTTTGGAATTACTTTCTACGCTAGAAATATTGCCACGTTTTACGGAATCACTGTTTTTTTAGATTTTCCGAAATTGAGCATTTGAGTTTACGTAATAAGAAAAAATATGTAAAAAATGCGTGAGAGTTCTATTAGTTTTGATAGTTCAAACTTAAAATGTGCTAATAAAAATATAAATGATGCAAAAATACTATCACCATCAAAATTTCAGCAATTCAAAATAATAATATAGCCTTAGTTTTCAATTTTGTTTAGAACAAAACTGTCTTACTCTAAAAGTTGCTCATACATTGAACGTATAAATTACTAGGCAAACTTGCCCGTGTAGCTCTCCAAAAAGTTATTAAAAGTTAGTATCAAAGTGTGAAAATGTTAACAAATTGTCAAACCTATTTAGGTCAAATAAAATAATCACTGATAGAAATTATTTTATTTGGTTAGATTAATAGCTATTTCAAATGAATGTATTTATTTAATCAAAAATTTCACTCAAAATGAGCCTCGGTTTGTTCATACACTGGTCTGTGACTTGTCATGGATTTTGTGTGTCTGGGATCCGGCCATGTGAATTTCATCTATATAGTATAGCAGATTGAACGGAATGTGTGTGGGGGGATCTTGGACGCGATCCCTAACAGGTTGGCGACTGCTGAACGAACAGGGCTTTAGTTGCAAATAAAAAGTATCGTCAATTGATTTATTCATTATTGCGCTAGAGACGCTGCTATAGTTTAGTAAACTGTAGAGATCATACTAGACGAAAATACCCCTGGTTTACGAAATAATTGTAAAATATGGTTTTATTGCTGCAAGTTGTTCAAAGGGGTATTCTGATAGCAAAAAAGTTATGGCCGCAAACCGAGGCAAACTGCAGGTTTTGACACTTGTTGGTAATGCGATGATGGTTTCTCGCAGATATTGGAAATTCTTCATATTCGTAGGATTCGTACTTCTAAATAGCAACAACAAAGTTGGAGTAGATTGGTCAAGTAGTTTTTAAGATTGCTTATCCCAAAGCACCGGCCATCACTACTAGTTTATTCGAGCAATGTACATGGTTCGTTCAAAGGACATTTTATAGCAAAATACACTAGTTTACCTTCTCGATATGAATCGCAAACCATTCCGGAAGGTAAATGTTATTTTTAGGCAAAAAAGGATGGGTTACGTTTTTTCTTCTAAACAAATTCAAACATTTCGTATTTGTGAGTAATTCGCAACAAAAGATGATAGATACATCCGCTTTGTCTTAAAATGTACGTTTTGCGAATATCGTAGCGCATTTGTTCAATTACCCACAAATACGAAATATTTGAATTTGTTTCGGAGCAAAAAAAGTAACCTTCGTTTCTCAAAAATAATATTTATCTTTCGGGATGATGTGTGATGCATATCGGCAAGGTAAACACGTGTGTTTTGCTATTAAATGCTCTTTGAACGAACCCTGTATATTGCTCAATAAACTAGTAGTGATGGCCGGAAAACAGGTGTTTTGGGATAAGAAATCAGAAATTATCAAAAAACTACCTATCCAATATAATCCAATTTTGTTGTTATTTAGAAGTATGAATCCCACCGATTTGAAGAATTTGAAGTAGTTGCGTGAAATTATCGTCGCATTACCAAGTGCCAATACCTGCCTTTTGCCTCGTTCTTCGGCCATAACATTTTTGCTATTAGTCGGATCTTTTTACGTATGGTCTCATTTTGTAGGTCTCATAAATATCTAAAAATCTTATATGATAAGCTTTTTCGTTCCTGTCAACACTTTCGATTGAATCCCCAAAAACCCGTTTTCTCATTCTTTGTTGTCAAATAAAAAGTTTTCTCACAAAAATTGGTGTACCCATTTTATGGGTCCATATTTTGAATACCCCCTTGAACAACTTACAGCAATAAAACCAGACAACATTATAATTATTTCGCAAACCAGCGGTATTTTCATCTAATATGATTAGACTACTTATCTTTTTTGTCCGAGAGGCACTTACAAGTTGAGGTGAACGGTACAATTTCGAGAAAAATGGTGGCACCTAGACTTTAAGAATATCATTTTGAAGCTTTCAGATTGAAGTTTTCAGGATTTTTAGCCGAAATATTTTGGGAGGAACTGTTCTTATGGAACTTTTACAGAGAGCGCAACTAATGTTGGCCTTCTTTTTAGTCCACGGGCTGGAAAACATGTTTTTCTGTTAGGCCATATGGATCGGATCTCTCGTTTATTCAGCTTACGCGGAGATATCTGACTTTGAATGAAAAAGAATCCTTTGTGATCAACCACTGATATCTCGGTAACCAGTGATCGCACAGAGAATGTAAGGATATTTCGGAAAACTAAATTAAATCTTTATTTTCTTCCAATTGCTTTTTTGAAATTGAAGATGTTATAGATGAGTCCCCTATTTCCAAAAGCGGCTAAATCCATATTTACGAAAAATGGTGTGGGTGCTGCCATCTCATAGTCAAAGGTTCTAGTAATATACTGTAATACATACTCGTTTCTAAAATGCGGCAAAATCTATATAAATCAGCACACTATTTCAGTCTTATTTACAAATCCGGCTAAATCTGATGCGTGTTTTATTACAAAAGTGGCTATATCCTTGGTTTTACTAAAACCGGCTACATCCACTGCTACACCAACTATTATGTTCTTGTTTATGAACAAGACCGGCTAGATCCTGTTGACGTGTATATTATATAGGATTCAATGCGCCACAAGTAGATGTCTGCTCGCAATGCCTTGAATACAGAGAAATGATCAAGAGAGAGAAAGATTTGCAGGTAAAAAACGATTTAATAGTGAAACAATGCATACATAAGCTAAGGGCAAAAGCATTTTATGATAAACTCAGAGGCCAAAGTGATGATCTATTGATTCTGACATTTGACTGCCAAAAAAACTTGTATTACCGAAAATTCCTGATCAAATAACATATTAAAAAAGGCAACTGTATCTTTACAACTTTACTGTTGTCATAGGATCATCAAAAGCAAAACTTAAGTATCGTCAATTGATTTATTCATTATTGCGCTAGAGACGCTGCTATAGTTTAGTAAACTGTAGAGATCATACTAGACGAAAATACCCCTGGTTTACGAAATAATTGTAAAATATGGTTTTATTGCTGCAAGTTGTTCAAAGGGGTATTCTGATAGCAAAAAAGTTATGGCCGCAAACCGAGGCAAACTGCAGGTTTTGACACTTGTTGGTAATGCGATGATGGTTTCTCGCAGATATTGGAAATTCTTCATATTCGTAGGATTCGTACTTCTAAATAGCAACAACAAAGTTGGAGTAGATTGGTCAAGTAGTTTTTAAGATTGCTTATCCCAAAGCACCGGCCATCACTACTAGTTTATTCGAGCAATGTACATGGTTCGTTCAAAGGACATTTTATAGCAAAATACACTAGTTTACCTTCTCGATATGAATCGCAAACCATTCCGGAAGGTAAATGTTATTTTTAGGCAAAAAAGGATGGGTTACGTTTTTTCTTCTAAACAAATTCAAACATTTCGTATTTGTGAGTAATTCGCAACAAAAGATGATAGATACATCCGCTTTGTCTTAAAATGTACGTTTTGCGAATATCGTAGCGCATTTGTTCAATTACCCACAAATACGAAATATTTGAATTTGTTTCGGAGCAAAAAAAGTAACCTTCGTTTCTCAAAAATAATATTTATCTTTCGGGATGATGTGTGATGCATATCGGCAAGGTAAACACGTGTGTTTTGCTATTAAATGCTCTTTGAACGAACCCTGTATATTGCTCAATAAACTAGTAGTGATGGCCGGAAAACAGGTGTTTTGGGATAAGAAATCAGAAATTATCAAAAAACTACCTATCCAATATAATCCAATTTTGTTGTTATTTAGAAGTATGAATCCCACCGATTTGAAGAATTTGAAGTAGTTGCGTGAAATTATCGTCGCATTACCAAGTGCCAATACCTGCCTTTTGCCTCGTTCTTCGGCCATAACATTTTTGCTATTAGTCGGATCTTTTTACGTATGGTCTCATTTTGTAGGTCTCATAAATATCTAAAAATCTTATATGATAAGCTTTTTCGTTCCTGTCAACACTTTCGATTGAATCCCCAAAAACCCGTTTTCTCATTCTTTGTTGTCAAATAAAAAGTTTTCTCACAAAAATTGGTGTACCCATTTTATGGGTCCATATTTTGAATACCCCCTTGAACAACTTACAGCAATAAAACCAGACAACATTATAATTATTTCGCAAACCAGCGGTATTTTCATCTAATATGATTAGACTACTTATCTTTTTTGTCCGAGAGGCACTTACAAGTTGAGGTGAACGGTACAATTTCGAGAAAAATGGTGGCACCTAGACTTTAAGAATATCATTTTGAAGCTTTCAGATTGAAGTTTTCAGGATTTTTAGCCGAAATATTTTGGGAGGAACTGTTCTTATGGAACTTTTACAGAGAGCGCAACTAATGTTGGCCTTCTTTTTAGTCCACGGGCTGGAAAACATGTTTTTCTGTTAGGCCATATGGATCGGATCTCTCGTTTATTCAGCTTACGCGGAGATATCTGACTTTGAATGAAAAAGAATCCTTTGTGATCAACCACTGATATCTCGGTAACCAGTGATCGCACAGAGAATGTAAGGATATTTCGGAAAACTAAATTAAATCTTTATTTTCTTCCAATTGCTTTTTTGAAATTGAAGATGTTATAGATGAGTCCCCTATTTCCAAAAGCGGCTAAATCCATATTTACGAAAAATGGTGTGGGTGCTGCCATCTCATAGTCAAAGGTTCTAGTAATATACTGTAATACATACTCGTTTCTAAAATGCGGCAAAATCTATATAAATCAGCACACTATTTCAGTCTTATTTACAAATCCGGCTAAATCTGATGCGTGTTTTATTACAAAAGTGGCTATATCCTTGGTTTTACTAAAACCGGCTACATCCACTGCTACACCAACTATTATGTTCTTGTTTATGAACAAGACCGGCTAGATCCTGTTGACGTGTATATTATATAGGATTCAATGCGCCACAAGTAGATGTCTGCTCGCAATGCCTTGAATACAGAGAAATGATCAAGAGAGAGAAAGATTTGCAGGTAAAAAACGATTTAATAGTGAAACAATGCATACATAAGCTAAGGGCAAAAGCATTTTATGATAAACTCAGAGGCCAAAGTGATGATCTATTGATTCTGACATTTGACTGCCAAAAAAACTTGTATTACCGAAAATTCCTGATCAAATAACATATTAAAAAAGGCAACTGTATCTTTACAACTTTACTGTTGTCATAGGATCATCAAAAGCAAAACTTTTAAAAGAAAATGTTTATATCCATACATTGCTTGAAACACAATGTCATAAGGGATCGAATGAAATCGCCTCAGCGGTTTATGACTCTTTAAACAAAATCACGATTCCTGAGAATGTGAAAGAGATTAGACTGGTATCAGATGGCTGCACTGGGCATAACAAAAATAGTATTGTTCTGTCTATGTGCGCTAAATGGATGTTAGAAGCTCCGAGCCATATCGAAAAACTGCAATTGATATTTCCGGTCACTGGCCATTCTTTTTTACCTCCAGATCGAGTTTTCGCCTTGATAGAAAAAAAGATAAAAAAAAACTTGACACAATAGTCAAGCCTGAAACGTATTATAATATTTTCGAAAACCATGGTACTTTAAAAGAAATTGGGACAGGACTGGAATATTCAAAATTGGAAAAAGGAGGCCGCAAATGTCATCAAATCACCAACCTCACTACATTTACAAATCAAGTCATGTAAGCGGTTGATACTGACTCGTTCTGCAAGTCCTGGTAAGGGTGAACCAAATTACCAGTCTGATGTGAATAACGCCAAAGGCATCTGCAAAAGGGGGAAGAGGATATCGCTCATGTCCCCAGAAAACGTTTGTATAAATAACTTGAAAATAAATCCAGAAAAACTAAAGAATGTTCCTGAGTTCACATTCAAACTCGGGTAGATCCATCCCTACCCCCCCCTCCCATACTGACATATAAAACAAAAATATGTTTTATTTTTCAAAATCCTTTATTGTGCTACATACATTAATATTACGGTATTACTGACTCACAAACTTACAAATAGTAAGAATTACAGTTTTTCGCCTTTTTCTTAATACCGTCAATTTTGGATTTAGCCGCTTTTGGAAATAGGGGACTCAGATATCCAAAAGTAACAACAAAAGAAGAAAAGCGATTTTTCCATTTTCAAGTAGATTGCGTGACAGCCGTTCCTCCTAAAATTTTTCATCTAAAAAACCTGAAAAATAGAGTCTTGGTACCATTTTTCTTGCTCCGTTAGTTTTTTTGAGCAGTGTAGTACTATTTTATTATTGGGTATAGCTATTATTTTATTGTAGGTAGACACCTTTTATAATTGTATTAGCTTATTTTAAGTATAAACTACGAAGAATAGTTGAATCCTCAGGCACATCTACACATTTTTTTATTATTTAAACTGGAATTCCTTATTTTAGGATATTAATAGGAAAATAATGAAAATTGAAAAATCTCAGACAGAAATGGTCTTCCACCCCAGTCATGTTGCAATTTAGGCCCTCTGTCACACCCTACCACTATTCTGTATATTTTGTTTCAGTAAAATATCAAAGAAGTATTGTAAAAGCGAAAAATTTCAAAAGTGACATGGATATTATATTTTTTGAATGTTATATGACATTAGATTACAATAACTATGTCACTTATTTACGTCGGATGTCGGTCTATCTGTCTATCTGTCCGCTATTCCTTCTCTTGGACTATAACTTGAAAAGTACTGCTCGGATTTGGATAATTTTTAAACAAAGTTACTACTATGCCAAGGTCGGAAGAGCTATGTAGTTTTTGAAAATACGTCCAGTGGCGGCGGACAAAAAAGACAAAAACGAAAAAAATAAAAATCGCTCAAACTTTCGCAAGTTCCTGATCATTTTTGACAAAAAATTAGTGCCGAAAAACTAGGGGATGGGGTGGTAGGGCGTGGGGAAGGTTATATATTAATTTCTTCACACTAGTATATTGATACGCTCTCTGCCCCGGTAAGTCTACATACCTATTAGACATAGTTCACCCATCATAAGTTTCCCGCACATTTGCCGTCAAAACGGAATGATGTAGAAATGTTTTCGAAATGCGTCTCCTTCTGCCATCTGGACAAAGCTTGATTGCTCTTCTCGTACTGCAGCTGTGCTTCTTTGGGCGCTGCCGCTTCTGAAGATATGTGAATGGGCAATATTGCCAGATGGAACGAAGGTGTATGGACTAATTGTGTGGGTCTGTTTTACTGCCTTGATCGATTTAATTTTTCCATTGTACATATTCAAAATTATTTTTTTTAACCTTTATAAACTGATGACTGCGTTGCGTGGGATGTTCAGAATCAACTTACTTGCGCCATTTTTTAATCAGGAAAATGAATTCTTGAATTGGCATGTTGAAGTCAGGGTTGAAATACAAATAGTTACTGCTCCTTTGGTGATCCCAATATGCCTTTTTAATGCTTGAATATATTATTCTCCAGATGATGTGGTCAGACACCAAATTCGTAGGTTGTGGATTTACCAGTTTCCTGTCCAACGATCCGAAATTCAAATACAAGAAGTTATATGTTTGCAATTACGGACCTGGGTAAGGCATTAAATGCGATTCCTATTAAATCTTTATAGTACGTTGTTAAAAACTTGTATCACACATAATTATTTTGATTATTTTTTTTTCAGAGGGAACATTGTTAATCGGCTGCCATACCGTACTTGAAGATGAGAATGATGAAACAATAGAGATTCGCATTATCTTTAATTATTATTGTAGTGGCGCTTAAATAATAATATTGTGTATGGTAATGATATCCATCTGGAAGAAAAAAGTCATATTTACATGTAAAATATAATTATTTTTGTCATTCATTTGATCACGTTCTTGAGAGTTCAAGGCTCATACAGGTATGGTTGTATCCAGTGCAGTAGTGGGTCTTGTTTATACTGAAATAACTGCAAAGGCAGACTTAGATGCAGAGTACTGCTACCTCTCCAAAGAAGTTGTTGTATAGGTACCTTGATATGAGCGGAATGATTAAGAACAGTGTACAAGTTCGGATTAGGTAGAACCAAGCATGCGACGATGTCCTAGTAAGCAGTTAGGATGTAAGTGCATACTAATGGGCGATTCAAATCCAGTTTCCATATTACAAATTAATGTTTTTATGAAATGCCACTGAATTTGACAACCACAACGTGACATTTCTAACGTCAAAATATAAACAAAACAGTCATGAAGCAGCATACGACCGAACAAGGTGTTAAAATTATCCAAGACTATTATGAAAACGACCGATCAAGAAAAAATACATTTAGTGCTTTACGTGAATTTTTGGCGCACAAAATCGGCCTTGTAAAAGGACAATTGGGTATTTGGTGCAAAAATTCGATCGATCCGCTAACATCAAAAGAGGTAGGCATGCTCGTAGAGGTCGGTCCGAAAACAATATTGCTATTCTTGCCGAAAGTGTGACCGAAAATTCAAAAACATCGATTCGTCATCGATCGCAGCAACTGGACCTTACCTATTCCACTACACAGCGGATTTTAACAAATGATTTGCAGTTTCACCCATACAGAGTCCAAATAACGCAGGAATTGAAGCCTAGGGACCATCAACAGCGCCGTGTTTTTGCCGAATGGATAAGAGAACAAGAGGTAAATTTTCCAATGAAAATAATCTTTAGCGATGAGGCATATTTCCACACTGGGGGCTTCGTAAACACTCACAAAAGCCGTATTTGGGGATTGGAAAATCCAAGGCAGATTGTTGAAGTGAAAATGCATCCTCAAAAGGTGACTGTTTGGTGTGTCTTTTGGTCCGGAGGCATAGGCGGAACATGCTACCAGAGTTTTTCTGGGAACAGTTGGCACATATGGACACCGCAGGTCTCTGGTTTCAACACGACGGTGCCGCCAGGTCGCGTTATTTCACGTAACGGCGATATCAATTGACCGCCGCGATCCTGTGATTTAACTCCCTTAAGGCCGATTTCACCAACATTAATATTATGGACCAATGGAAAAATACCTTATCGAAATGCAATTTGACAGAAGCTGTCAAAGGTCTCAGAATATCAGTGATTTCTATTAAAATATTGAATAAAATCGTGAAAATTCGACTGTATTATAAACAGGACCACTTCTTGATTCCAACATGATGCTTTTGTACAGAGAAAACAGGTCAACTTTCATGTATTTTGATTTGTGTTATAAATTTACATTTAACAATCAGTAAAAGCCAATGGGAATGCGGCAAATAATAGGTCGATTTTCAAGTTGTTAAATTTGGCAGCAGATGTTCAATATACTGTTATCATTACATAACTGTTGAATAGTGTGGATTTGTCTGTATTTTGCAAGAAAATAGAATATAAAATACATTCCATTCAATTCCTCATATTTCTTTACATCATAATTTACGGGTTAATGAATTTTTTCAAAGCAATAAAAACATTGTCCTCTCCATCCTAAAACACTGATAATATGTGTAAGACGTGTCAATCCCTACATCTCCGTGATGCATAATGCAATTACTATGGACATAGACAAAAAATTATGAAAAATGTCTCACAAATAATGTCTTTTAAGTCCAAAAATCATAAAAACTATTATTGTTTATTGCCTTTTTCACTGGTGGGGTTATCTATGTGTCACTCACAGGGTTGCCAAGTATAACGACGATCACGTCCCGTGATGAAGGGTGCGACATGAATCTTTTACATTTGCCTGTTTTGAATTTAAAGTAGGAATACATAGTACTTATGATAGTTGGAGCTAGACTGATAACACTTCTTTATTTGAAAAATGTGAACACCGTCATGGTCTGTTGTCAAATGTCAAATGAAGTATCTGAAAGTTCTTACATACAGTGGACCTTCGTCATAGTTTACTATCTTGATTATGATCATTTTTCGCAGATGTGTTGTATCATCAAATTGATGAACAAATATAAGAAAGCTCTTATATACCTACATACAGAGGATTTTTCATGTAAATTTACTAGGTATCATGATTATAAGCATCTTTGATGGATTGTTCGATCCAGAATGGGAAAGATATCCTATTTATTATTATTATTATTATTATTATTATTATGATAATTGAGATGAGCAGAGTACACAGTACTATAAGCTCATGCAGTAAATATAGGACACGTAACACAAATACATCAAATAGAAAAAAAATAAAAAAAATACAGTTCACAGCTATAAAGTTTGTACACTCCTCCAGCTATCATACTGCACTTTGAAGCTATTAACTGAAGTAGCACGGACTGTTGTTTTAAATGGCTTCTTATGCAGTTTGAAGCTGTGTCCGCGTAGATTGCTGCGCGACAGATGGTATAGATGCATGAGGTTGGTGCCCATCAAACCATGAAGTATCCTGAACGTAACTATAAGATCGCCACGAAGTCTTCGCTCAGAGAATGAGGTCAGGTTGAATAATTCAAGGCGATCTTCATAGCTTGGTCTTCGTGCTCCAAAAGGGATACGAGTAGCCCGACGCTGTACTGATTCGACGAGATTTCTATCGCGCAGAAGCACAGTGTCCCATACCGGGCCAGCGAATTCAAGAATTGGCCTCACGAATGCCTTGTAAATGTAGGCGCAAGTTTTGACATCGGATCCTTTGAAAGACCTCTCCAGCATATATAGAAGTTTCTTGGCTTTTGATGTAACGTGGTGAATATGCTCTGACCAGGAAAGACGATCGTTGACTACAACGCCCAGATCAGTGTGGCTCGAAACTGCTTCGATGTTGTGGTCAGAGATCTTGTATGTAAATCGCGGATTTGTCTTCCCGAGGTGAAGGACACAACACTTGGTTAGATTTAAGGGTAAAAGCCAACTGACTGACCATTGACAAACAGTATCAAGATCTCGTTGAAGCATAGCAGAATTTACGACAGTATTGTAAATCTTGGTGTCGTCGGCATAAGCTGAACATGTGGAGGAAATCAATGCGGGCAGGTCACTGGTATACAGAAGGAACAGCACTGGCCCCAAGACAGAGCCTTGAGGAACTCCACTTGCTACATGATGAGGGTGAGACTGGCTATCACTGACGCGCACAGAGAAAGTCCTCCCGGTGAGAAAAGCCTTAATCCACAGTAACAACTCGCCTCTTATTCCCATACATTCCAACTTAAACAGAAGCCTTCTATGTGGTACGCGATCGAAAGCCCTAGAAAAATCTAAGTAGATTATATCAACAGGAGTCTTGGTGTCCAGATACTGAGTCCAATCGTTGAGAGAGTGGAGAAGGTTGGTCATTATTGATCGACCAGGGAGAAATCCATGCTGATTCTTAGGGATAAGGTCATTTTCGAAAGCAAATGACTGGAGCTTATCTAATATGATTCTTTCAGCTATTTTGGCGGCGATAGGAACGAGACTTATTGGTCGATAATTTTTAGCGGAGGATTTGTCGCCCTTTTTGAATACAGGAGTAACAGAAGCACTAAGCCAGCATGAGGGTAGGGTATGAGATCTAAAAGACGATGTGAATATCAAGCTTAATGGTAGGGCCAGTGCTGAAGCGCAGTTTTTAAGTACAGCAGCCGTCATCCCATCTTTACCAGGGGAGGAAGAGGTCTTCAGATTTCGCAGGTGCATTAATACATCTTCAGGCAGGAACTCAACTTCGCAAAGGCTGTTGGGACACCTATGGCAGATAGTGGTCGGTAGAAGGTCTCCATTAGGCTCATCGACGAAGTCATCACTAAAGGACTCTGCCAGTAAGTTGGCAGATTCGGTGGCATCCATGTGGAGATGACCGTCAGCGTCGCGGATCTGAGGTGATGAAACTTTGGAATTCAGGTTTGTTCTTAGATACCGAAACAGCTTCTTCTTATTTTTGGAGGTAACGAGTTTTCCTTCATAAGCATGTTTGGCATTATGTAACGTTCTAGATAGGAGGTTAGAAAAGGATCGATGAGACACGTAATCTTGTGAATGGCCACTCCTCCTAAACCGTTGCCACAAAGATCTCTTGTGACGAAGCATCCTCGATATGTTAGAGTTGATCCAGGGCTTTGAGGGGTCACAGTATACCTTCTTTTCAACAGTATTGTCAGCCGTTTCGCTTAGGACTCGTTGAGCGAAAGTGTCCCACATATCTTGGGTGCTACGGTTGTTAAGCAAAGCAGGCCAGTTGACTTCAGACAGGGCTTGGTTAAGAGCATCGTGGTTTACAATTTTGTTGGTTTTAAACTTATCGGTTGTAGAACGACTATTTATATTGAACTGGAGAGAAGATAAAAGTGAACAATGGTCAGACTTGCCAAAAGGTGGCAAATAATCTAAATTAGAAACAAAGTCTGCGTCGTTAACGAATATCAAATCCAGAGCCCTAGGCGTCTGTCCTTCCCTGAATCTCGTTGGACGATCAACAAGTTGAGATATGCTAGAGTTGCGTAGCAAGTCGATGTAAGCAGCAGAAGAAGAATTGCATTCAGGAATGGTTGACATAGGCCAGCTAATGTCACGTAGATTGAAGTCACCAGCTATGAAAAGGTTGGTGTTTTTATTTAAGAGATCTGAAATGAGACTGCACAGGTGTGTGTCTCTCAAACAGGGCCGTGGCCGATATATGCAGCCTATCGTGAAGCTGAAATTTGGGCACCTCAATTCCAAAAATAGATTGTCAATGCCATCGAAAGGACTGAAAGAGGGAGATACCGAGAAAGCCGACGCGATTTCCGTGCGAACATAAATGCATACTCCACCAAAACCAGGAGTGCGTGGTGAATCCATTCTGTATAAATAGTATCCAGGCAAATTGATGGAAGAGTCGGACACGTTGGAATGGAGCCATGTTTCAGTAAGACAAACGAACGTTGGATTATTGTCTCGAACAAATGCTTGGAGTTCAAGTAGCTTAGAAAATAGAGATTGTATATTAGTGTAACAAACCGTCCAGTTTGCCACAGAATTTATCAGTTTTTGAAGGTGTGATCTCCTGGGTAGCTGTGTGTACTATAGAAGGTTTACCACGAACGTATTTTATAGTAATATTACTTTCGCCTGTTGTTTGACGACGTCTAAGCTCTTCGCGAAGGTGTTGTAGTTCTTGCATTTGACTTCTGGTTTTGTCGTCAGAGATTTTTACGTGACGAAGCGTAGGGTGGCTAAGGATGGAGTTTTTCTTCCGCAAAATATTGCTGACGATAATAGGTGAGGAAAACACAACTCTAATTAAACGATTGCTTGAAGTTGTTCTGCCAAGGCGAGTGATGCTGAGTCGGTGATTTTCGGCAGATGGTTCAATATGCCTAATTATCTCTGATACTATGTTTATGTCATCGTTACCTTCAGCTATGCCCCTCAGAATGATATTGTGGGAACGTCTAAATAACTCCATTGTCTCAGCTTGGGAGCTTGGGGCAATAGGGGTAGAAGAAGCGCCGTTGCCTGAGTGCATCATCTCCATAGATCTTGCAAGTCTCGATTCAATATTAGCAATGTTAGAAGACAGCTCTGTTTGAGTAACCTGGATATTTTGTATGTTGGTTTCGCAGGCCGCTATTAAGTCATCATGCCGAGAGATCGAGTCCGAATGTTGCTGTAGCAAGTTTCTACAATAAGCAACATCAGTTCTGAGTTGAGATTGAGAGTTCTTAATATCCTTTATGTCACTGGCCATAGTTGATAATTGGTTAAGTATAAGGGTGAGAGTGTCGGTAGGGGTAGACTGATCTGGTTGTAAAGGAGCAGTGGTTTCTGAACGAGCACCGCATGTGGATCCGCTTCGGGTAACTCGTCCCTGTTTACAACAGGCTGGGCAAGACCATCGTTCTTTTCCGTCCGACAGTTCTTCGTTGTTATCACTGTATTTTTCTACATTATCCCCATCTTCAGGATCTTTCATGTTTTTATTCTTCTTTCGCACAGTCCTACTCATGTTCCCTTATTCCAGCGGCTATTTCCCGATTACCCTATACACTCTGTAGACTAGTTTCTTAATTTGATTTGACACAATTGACGAAATGTCCAAATGACAAAATGGAATATATGGTAAAATGGCTGAAGATTACTCCCACGGCTCTGGAAACTATCGCCAACAGGTCCACGGACGTACCTCTTCCTGCTCTTAACTTGAACACATCTGGTTTTAAATATTTTTGGCTTTTCTCCGATATTTTGAGGTATTTACAGTGAATACTAATTTAGTAGCCTACTTTTTAACTTCGGTTAAATTTATGAAAATATTTTTGGTATCATCTGATCGTTGCAATCAGTGCACAAAAACTGTGACATATGATTTATAGTATGACATAACCCGCTGGCCTATCAATACAAATTTAACATACAGGTCTCCTAGCCGTGGGGATGCAGTGGT